TCTCACGAATATAAACGGAAATTTTGGGTGTCCCACTTCAATTGCGGCCACTAAAAATTCAAGGACAGTTAAATAATAAATTTGAAACTGGAATGCATCTCATTATTATGCGAATCTGTGTGAAAAATAATGAAATAGCTAACCAATGTTTCAACTTGTTGGAAAGCAGGATGTCAAACTCCTCAGAACTTGATGATGGAGTAGATGAAATAGAAGATCCAAAATCTTGTATCGCATTGAAGCAAACTGTGCGTACAATACGATAGCAAAGTAATTCGAATTGAGACAGTCAGTCCTCATTTATATCATGCAGCGATGTGCCAGCTGGAATTTAGGTGTAAATGGAAGATATCTATAAAAACTTGATGATCTGAAGAGGCAGAGTCAAGTGAGTGTGAAACTTATTGCCCACGGAACATTAAGATTGAATAAAAGGCAACGATCGAAAAATGACCTGTCGCAAGAAAGTTTCATCAAAATACCTTCGACATTTAACAGTGGGTGCTCCCATCCTGACGAACTTTGTAAATCATATACAGGGTCTCTATAAATGATCGTAACATCGTTGTGGCTGTTGACATTTTTTCCATTTGCCGCTTTCTACTAATGCTGTTAACAACATTTAACGACCAAAAAGAGAGGAAGTGATCATATACAGGATCTTTTTTTTATCGTTTTGCATACACTATGGAAATGTATCTCAAAGAAAGGAGAGTCCAATATTGGTGTTTGAAAAATAATGGAACAAATCAAAAATATTTATTGAAGGAGTAATAAATAACGGTTCATTTCATCAACCAAGCATTTCGAAAACGTTCCTCAGCATTTCCGGGCCAATATTTTGGCAGCAATGTATTATTGAGGCTTGCAGCTCTTCAAGGTTATTATTGTCTCTCTTGAATACCTCGTCTTTCAAATATCCAAAAAGACAGAAATCCAAAGGAGTCAGATCTGGAGAACGTGTTGGAAAATAAGGATTAACTCCTCGACTTATCACACGGTTGTCATAAAATTCTTGTGAATATTCTAAATTTGCACGAACTTCTTCATCATTAAGTTGTTTGATAGTGCCATCGAAGAAAATCGGTCCATATATTCGCCTACGAGAAACTGCTAACCACACCCCAATTTTTTGAGAATGTAGTGGAGTCTCAATGAAATTGTGGGGATTCTCGACAGATCTCCGAAACCTAAAATTTTGTGAGTTCACGTATCCCGACAAATGAAACCAAGCCTTATCGCTGAAAACTGTTAGGTCCAATAGCTGGTCATCGTTGATATTATTTTGGAACTATTGGCAGTACTCCAGACGACGTGAGATATCTATTGGCAGAAGTTGCTGTAGTACACTGGTCTTGTAAGGGTGCATATGCAATCTTTTCTTGAGCACTTTATGGCATGTACTTAGTGGCACACCAGATTGTAAAGATAATCTCTTCAATGACGTATGAGGATTTTGCTCAACACGCGCCCTTATATTTTCGACAACTTCTTCCGATATTTGGAGCCTTCCTGTTGATTTATTTCCATTAAAGTTTCCAGTTAGGATGAATCTGTTGATCACTGTTCTGATGTGGGCTTTCAAAGATGATCCTTGAATCTGTACATTAGGATATTTCGCGAGGTACTCATCCTTACAGGTTACTACCGAGTAACTCCATCCACCATTGATGAATGTGCCATTTCGACAATAAGACATTACAATGAATGTATTCTGCTCCGACGAATAAGCCATCTCTCTTTTCAACACGACAATCACGAAGTAGAAAACAGAATCGTTTGAAAATTTTAACGAAAAACTGACAATTGTGAGTTTATCAGCTATGACAGTATAATGATTGATGTCAGAAATCAAATTCGAATGTGTGAATCTCCATAAATGAAAGGCGGCAAATGGAGAAAATATCTCAACGGCTACTACGATGTTACGATCATTTATAGAAACCCTGTACAATATATACTGTCTGTAGGTTAATCGAGGAGGTGTTACATCATTTTACCAAATTATTTGGGATATTCTCTCCTCGTTTCTCTTCTGGTAGGATAATTTGTTGAACGCAGTGACATTTTGGGAAAATCATCTGATTCGTCCTACTACAAATATATTGAAATAACACTCATACTTTCATTTTGTAGAAACGAGGAGAGAAAATCCCAAATAATCAAGTGGAATGAATGTATAATCAATAAAGCAACAAATGGATTAGCGACACGAATCATAGTAAAAATCGAGAGGTACAGATTGTTCATTGAATACGAGCAATGATTCATGAGTGATCACTCGGTGCAGTATACACAAACTATATCAATCGGACATATTCGATTCAGATTTGGTAATGCATTCACGATATGCAAATATTCGCAATTTGCCAATGCATAATTTTTTGTATGAAAATCGAATTGCTCGTGAACGTAATCAGAATACAATAACATGTGATGTGGGAATAGGTTATAATCAAGGCCATATACGACAACTGACGTTTAATACGTGTTTAGATGAACAATTGATAAAATAATGTTTCCGAATATTCGATGCTCGTTATTTAGTCAGTTTGATCAGATTCAAATGGTTCGCGATAGAATTGAAGAAAAATGGTATAGTATATTGTTGTTTTTTTACCCGTCTTCCGGTTGTCCCCTTACAAGCAACCCTCAGAAGTCTTCAAGAGAATTGTGCGAGCAAGGAATTACGGGAGCCTTATTATACCTTTCAACGTGTGATTCCAAACACTTTTTCAGGCAATCAGAAAATTTTCTGCAGTCGTATTATGTATTTACATTTTGGCGCCTTCATACTTTCTTTTGTGCAAAAAATTCTACATTCCAGACAATGATATGAATTACTTCCATGAACAGCTGTTTCACTTCACCAGAGCTGACTTTTTCTTCTGGATCGCACCTGAGAAATCCTTATTATGTTTGAGGAACACCGTGCGTACTTGGAAGTAGAGGAAGAGAAAATGGGTAATGGATTTTTTGAAACATTTAGGGGTTACGATCTTGGGAATATTTTATTTGGCAAAGGATTCCAGAGCATCGCAAGCCTGGTGTTTATTTCATATCACTGATTAAGAACTTCTTCGTTGTAAGATTTATAAAAATAAGTGAATTTCGAATCCATTCAGATTTATTTCTTCATTGTATTTTGATTGATAACCAGTTTTTGTGATGTAGTAGAATTCTCAGCAATGTAAAAAGCAACAAATTGAATGCATGGTAGGAAAATTATCATTTTCGGCTACCGCCAGCCCACTTGTAATTATTCAATTTCATCTGTTATATCTACTATTCATTAGTAATTATTTTATGATTCGATGAAAATGCACGCATGACTATCAATAAACGTATTGTCAATATATTATGAATGTACATATTTCGTATTGAAGTATATACTGTGAAATCACATTGAACATGAATATCATCAGGTAACGAGCAATAATAAATAGAATAGTCTGTGGAACCAGGAAAACACTTGAATAGCAAGAGAAATAGACAATATGTTCTCTTAGAGAGATACCTACCTGGGAGATTAATTTTCCAATTCCCGTACTAGAATACGCAAATCAAATATTATCTGCTACCCATTTATAAATATTGTTCATTTCAAAACGGATTTTTATTATGAAACAGATTATGGCTAATGAAAATACGTACTTTTGATTATGGAACGAATTTTCGATCTATTGGAACAAGTACTTGAGTAAAATCGAGTTGTGTATGTATTTTCATACATGTTTTAGTTACAGGCAATTCATGGACTGGAGATGGTGGAATATGTTGAAATATAATAATCCATGTGGAAATGAGTTTTAATTTTTATTCAATTACGTATCGATGATCGCAAAAAGAATTGTGTATGCAACGATCATGCAATGGCTTTGACTGAATACACTCATACACGGTTTACGACACTCGGCTTCGTGTATATCATTACATGATTGTTGCATGAAAAACTATTATCAACGCAGTAACATTTTTTAATGAGCCAAATATCAATAACGACAGGTGAAACTATGGAAATATCTGGTGAATAGGGTGTCCCAATTATATTAGGTAAGAAAATTATGATCTGAAAAAACTGAATCGAATAGAGTTAGAGTGAAGTTTTATCTTGATAACAAATAGAAGTGTTGAAAGGCGCATGGCAATTGAGAAAAATATATTAGTGATGAACCCGAATATTCCCTTGAAAACAAATTTTAGCTAGTTAGTAGTTATAATGTGGGACAACGAAATCATTAGCCAGGGCGTCATCCAGTTGATAATCAGGTTTGACTTTTGATATTTAGAACAAAACCCATACTCTATAAAAAATGATTGAATATCACATCCTGTTTCACCGGAAATAGATCTAGGTCGAGAATTTTTGATAGAAGCTTATGGATATTTCAGGTAATTCTAATAAAAAATTTCTTCTCAATGACGTATCACAAGTTGGCATTTGATTTCAAAATGGCGGCGCAGGGGACAGTTTCTCGAAAATCAATTGGGCGATACTGTGCGACGTAGTCGATCAAATGTCCGTCCAGCAACCTGATGAAATAGCAGAGGACGAAGCCCTTTGATTAGTTTTTGATGAAACGTGCAGAAATTTTGATTCATTACCAATCAGGATTCCTTTTAGTATCGAATAGAATAGCTTGTTTTCAATCATCTTCATCAAAGTCGAAATCTACAGATGAATGCTTGACATACTATGCCTTCCGTTTTTAGTGTTTAAAAAAATATATTTTCATGCAGAGGAAGTTGATTATTCAGGTGTGACGAAAAATACAACATCCAATGATCTTCTAATTGGGAATAAAAAAAAATAAACCTATTGCCGGGCAGTATTTTCAATATCTTGGGGAAAATCTTCTTTGGATTCGTTTCATCTTAGGATCACTTTCTTCTCTGGGTTCCTTCCTTCTTTGGTTTCCATACTTCTCTGGGTTTCTTTCTCCTTTGGGTTCCTCACTTCTTTGAATTTTGTATATGTTGTGTGTATGATATTTCCTTACTTCTTTGGATTGTTTCCTTCTCTGGTTTCTTCACACCAGCCGCCGTCGATGGTACGGTGACCGTGACGCGAGTCTGTCCCATCTCAAGAAGTGCTTAGCAGGCTCTCAGAAAATATCAATCAAATTAAGAATGAGTCGTATACAGGGGGTCCGAAAAGATCTCAGAGGCTGATAGAGTGAGGCAGAATAATATCAGCACTACATATAAAAAAAATGTGTATCGCGCTTCGATATACGGAGTTATTGACCTCGAAAGTTAGGATGGAAAAAAATGAATTAAATGAATAACGCTTAGACGGTTGGAATGGTATCAATGATATTCGGGCAGGTAAATGAACTCATACTATTGCTTATTTTCATATAAATAAACGGCATTTCAGTGAATATGTTTTATAAAGGATGGGACGATTTTATTCCGTTTCATGGAGATATTTTTGACACAGGTGTCAAATTTCACATTTTCCTTCCACCATTCGATATGTTCAACTTTTGTCTACAAAAATATTTTACTTTATCTCAATCGATATCTTGTACCGTTCTAGAGAAAATAGTATTTTTAAACATACATTCCAACCGTTTCAGGGGTAATAGAAGCTCTATTTACCTATTCAATGACATCAGTGAAAACAAAAAGATTATCAAAAATAATTTTCAATGTATGCATCTTGAACTTCAACGTGTTTTCTAAATGTATCTGAACATCTGCGTTGTACTCGATATATATATGTATGGAAAGTTGAAAATTCATTTACATTTATATTGATAATAATAAATGGAGTTTCATCATTTTTGAATCGGTTGAGATGTATGTTATCAAATGTGATTTTCCCTAGATCGGTACAAAATATCGATCGCAAATAGGTATATTTTTTTTATTATAACTTTCAAGGTCAATATTCCGTAACAAAGCGCGATAGACATATTTTTCATATAAAGTACTAACACTTTTTCTGCTCACTCTATTAGCCCTATCAAACGACATGGCCTTTTTGGACATCCTGTATAGTGTGTCGAACATTCAATCCTGATGTCCACTTGTGATATGTCATTGCGAAAGGAGAATTGCGTTCGCTCTATCGAGTGGCATACAAATTTCTACAGGGTTCCATTTCTAATTCTTGACCTAGGTCTAGTCCCGGTATGAACGAAAGTGATATTCAATTGCTTGTGAGAACTCTATCTTCGATTCGAATGTCGCAGGTCTTACATGAAACGCAATTAAATGACGCCCTGGCTAATGATTTCGTTGTCACCCGGTATACGTTTCGGATAAACTGCTTTCGTGACATACACAGACAAAGACAAACGATAAGTGAAATGAAGCAAACTCTTCGAAAGTGTCCAACTTTTCCCGGACTCAGTTAAAAAATAACGAATGCACTGGAAAGACACCACATGCGATCCATTACACCGATCGAGAAAAGCCGAATCTTGAACAACTCACGATGCATGACACGGATAGTAGAGACAGTGTTGCCATCCTATTTTGATAGAAACTTCCTTGCACTTTCCCCACATGTTTGTTTTCGTTAAAAATGGATGCCCAAATGGAAAAAAATTACTCCGGTCCATATTCATTATATTTTTCACATTGAATTTGAAAAAAAATCTTTTATGGTAAATATTAGAAACTTTACCAGTGCATGACTTTCATGAAGAGAAAAAACTTTGAGAATTAAAATGCTTCTATGAGTTCCATACTTCGAGAATCGATACTTCTATCAATGACACACTTGTGTATGCTTTCGTGATCTGTGTTCTGTGCATGGAACATGAAACGACTACGGCTATTTTCATGTCAGTTAGTCAGACTACACAGAAACTCAGAACACCAGAACACTAACATGAAATATGGTCCCTTAAGAGGATCGGGCGTGTTTTTCATTCCAGCGAAGAAAGTGTGTCGTGACAATAAAATATACAACACATTGATGGAAAAACGGATTTCGTTGTGTGTCAGTCTAACATGTTTATTCATAATCAGGAGAGGCTGATATTATATTATATGAATTTTATTGATCAACAATAACTCCATCTCATGAAATCTCTCAAGAATCTAACAATTTCTCAATATTTTTTATTTTCTATAGGATCTAAACAAAAAACCAAACTTAAAATATGTCAGTTGTCATGTCAGTCTCCTGCAAACCGCTGGATTCTTGCGAAGCGATTTGATATTGCGCATTTTTTTTTACAGCAGTTCGATGGTTCCTTCGATTCATGCGCATGATAAAACGTTGGAATGAAAAACGAACCCATCATATATGTGACCTAAGTATGGTACAGTCGGTACAGTCAGAGATAAGTTAACTCATCTCTGGTACAGACTAGCACGAAAATTTCCATATTATGAGTTCGTGTGAAAAGTGGATTAAGAACAATCGAACATGGCTTTCCCCAAAGGACAGTGTTGGGTCTGGTTCTATTCATTATCTATCTCAATGACTTACTAGACATGCCAGAACGAGGTAAGATTCATAGTTTCGCGGATGACACGGCAATCAGTTATAGGGCAGATAGTTGGCAAAACTTGAAAAAGTTATCCGAACAAGATTTTATGTCAATAAAAAATTGGTTTGACGTGAATGTTCTAACAGTGAATGCCGATGAAACTAAATATCTTCCTTTTTCATCGTATCACAATCACCTACCTCCATATAATGTTCTAGAAATGCGTGACAATGTAGGTAACATCAAAATGCAAATAGAAGAGGCCAGTTCGATTAAATATCTAGGCATATGAGATGGAATGTGCGTATCAACTATTTGTGCAAAAAACTGCGAATGTTGCTACCGAAATTCAAAATTATCAAACAATTTCTGACGATTCCACAATTGAAATCAGTTTACTACTCACTAGTTCAATCTCAACTTTCCTATGACATAATTGGATGGGGCAGCGCTAGTAGTACATGAGCAAAGCATGTTGAGATCATTCAAAAATGGATTCTTAAGATTTTATTCAATAAATACCGCTCCTATTCTACCGAAAGATTATATGAAGAGTCAGCAGTGTTAGACTTGAGACAGATCTACAGCCAAATAATCCTGATATATCTCCATAAAAACAAAATCAATATTCGATATAAAGAACACGTTTATAATACCCGAAACAAAAATTCTATCACCGAAAAGAAAATTGCCGAAAAAACTATTGGGTTGAGAAACCATTCTTATATAGCTCTGAAAATCAACGATCTTCTTCCAAATGAAATGAAAGATATCGAAATTACGTTCAAATTCAACAAAAGTATGAAGAAATGGTTACATGAAACACATAGAATCATTATACATGAAATCATTGATGTGAAATCATAACAAATACTCATTCCAGAATAATAATAATAATGGAAAAATAATAATGCTTAACTCTTCACAAGATATATTTTTCTGTTAAAATTAAGTCAAAGTCTAGAATTCTATTTCATGTTGTGTGTTTATGTGTATATTCACGTATATTGTCATACTGATATGAATAACGTTGATTCAGATTTCATAGTTCAATTCCTATGTATTCCCTATTTAAAAATTTTCAACTTCTCTTTTTTTCTAGTATCCTATTTGGTGATAATATAGAGACAATATGCTTGGATATATAAATGTACTAAGTTGGTAAAAATATTGAATAATAATGATCACAACCTCGTTATCAAGAACACTGTTCTTTTAGAGGAAATGATGATTACCACCACCAGCAGCCATTCAAGTACATTGCACATTTGGCCTTACTTCCATGTTTATTTGATGAGTGTATTTCTATATATTGTATCTATTACTCTGTCACAAATAAACATTATTATTATTATTTGATTTTTTCTCCCCTTTTTCCCATTTTTATGTTTTTCCTACGAATATTCCCATAATATAGGAAAATTCTCACAGGTTGGCATCACTGAGTAGAGAATGCGTTCAACTTTTCTAATTTAACCGGAGAGACCAAAAAGAGTGTCTGATAATGGTGAGACCCCGAAATTGGAACATTGTATAATAGGCGCAGAGCATGGTGTCCGTAACAATTGACAAAATCTCGGCTCTAATGCCTTGCAGTCTGCTGATAACCGTATTTGGCATTCTACGTTTGAGTGATTTAACGTTGCTCGACGATCCGTGGAGATAGTCATGCCCCGGACAATATCGGTGACTTAAGTTAACGACCGAATAGTGTATGTGTCCCACGAGATTAAACTCCAAAACTACTTCGAGCATAGTGTATTTTTTCCTCTAGTCTCTGATGCGTTTCATTACGATAAAGTTGCTTGAACGCCATGTTGGAGCGCAAGAAAGGAAAGCAAATGCAATTTTGATTCCTGTCAATTTACCTGACATTTGGGGAAATGTAGTTCAGAGTGTGCTGAACAAAAGTCTCCATGGGGTCAAACAATTTCTATGAGTAGTTTTCGTTCTACGCTCTCGTGAATCCTCTGATGCTATACGTATAGAGATGTGATGATGTGAGATATCGAAATCGAATTTAGGAATTCAGGAAGTTTGCTGATTAGTTAAGCTATAGTTCATCACTATATTTTACATACATTAAGATCTATCTACAGTAATGTCATTAATCATATCACCCGTTCTTTGCGCTACTCAAGGCCAAAGAACGTGATGCTACGTATATAGAAAGAACTTGACTAAAGGATCTACAAAGGAGGTACTCACTCACTTGTGGGATATCCAAATCGAATTCAGAAATTCAGGAAGTTTGCTGATTAGTTAAGCTATATTTCATTACTATATTTTACATACATTAACAGCTATCAACTGACATATCATTAATCATATCACCTGTTCTTTGCGCCACTCAGTGCCAATGAACGTGGACGTGACAGGTACTTTGGCCTCTTTGTATGACTCTGTATACACACACACCCACAATACACCCACACAACCACACACACACCCACACCCTCCTAACCTAACCTAGCCTGAATTCGATTTCAATATCTCACTAGTGGTGTACTCCCTTTGTAGATCATTTATTCAAGTTTTTTCTATACGTAGCATCAGAGGATTCACGAGAGCGTAGCACGGAAACTACTCATAGAAATCGTTTGACCCCATGGAGACTTTTGTTCAGCACAC